CCACCTCACTCCTACTATCTCTTTCTCACCACCCAACCCACATTCACCAACCATTCCACTCTCACCACCCACCTCACTTTCACCAACCACTCGATTTCATTACCTGTTCACTCCCAACTGCACTTGTCCCTGCAGGTCACACATATCTGTTAACAGATGTATATATATATATATATATATATATATATATATATATATATGTAACTCACTTTGTCATGATGGATGGAACACCATATCAGTAATATTTAGTAATCTTTGATTTAAGTAACTATTTGAAATAGACATTTCGAGCAACGGTTTCTTAGTTATAGCATAGAAGCAAATGCTAAAAACAAACAAAAATTACGCCGATGAATTGTAAAATTGTAAGAGTAGTAAATAAACGCGTTTCCGACCGATACATATAATGTATAGTAAATCATATGTGATCGTTGTGCTAAATAACTATTCAAAATAGCAACGTATGTTTATTGATATAAAAGAAGAAAATGTTTAAATATTACCATCCAAATAACCAACAATGCTGAACATTTCAATGTGCTATTTAAATTTATTCGGAGAATATTTTCAATATTTGCGTTTACCTTACTCTGTAATAAATATCTTTCTTTTTATACAATTAACAATGAATTTTGTGAATCATACATCATATTATATATTGACATCTGGAGTTACTAGCGGATGCGGGCGATAGACAGGCTTTGAAGTATACCGATTACATTAAGTGGTTCAGTGATCAAAAAACATTTTATATGGTGCAGCTGCATCGATGCAATATTTGCAATTCTGTGTACCATTAACAATTGCAGTAAGAATAACCACTGGTCAAACAATGAGTTTGGCATATAAGTTTGAGCCCCCTATACACTATACTATATATATATATATAGTTATTAGTTTGCATTAGTGGGACTAAAATGCGACTCTCCAATAATCTGTTGAATACAATAATTTATATTTACAATGAAGGCGAATAAGGCACTAATGATCTCACAAACCTTGGCCTGATTCTTCGTGCTGTAACCATTTAGTTTGATATATACTTATTTAATACGTTCAAAAGTATGCAAGGCGAATTTCATCAATTTTATAATATGTAATTAATTAGGAATGTTGTAATTCATAAGTGAAGCTCTACCTATTTCGTTAGTAAGTTACTATGGCAACTAAATAGGTAATTTGTGATCTGTTACATAACCTATAAAAACTGATGTCCCGCTCTTAGTTTATTTGTCAATGGATGAGGTGATATTCTTGCATCTCAACCTATTCTCTCATCACCAGATGGGCCTTTTCTTTCCAGCTGTACTGTGACATCACGAAGGGCAAAACGATATAAGCAAATGGTTTTAACATTATCATCGGGAGGCGAAAATATTTGTATTTTATTTTATTTTATTTTACTTAAATTCAGTTATGTACTAGCAGTTTTTTGTAGTGTTCTGCAATACGTTTCAAGTAGAGAATGTTCATTTATGTGTGTCCAATAAATGTATCAGTAAATTAGAGTTAGAGTGCTGTTCCCTTCATTCAACTCTTACGTTATAGTAGCTCACATTTATTCGACTCTCAAAGAACAAGTGTTCTGTAATACCTTGGTTGTAAGTAGTATTCTGTTCTTTTGTTCATCGTACATGTCATTTAGTAATCTAATCACATTTAGAGTTCTCGTATAACTTGTTCCCACTTTTCACATCTAGTATATGTGTATATTGTCTAGCAACGTATATAACACTAACATGGATGTCATGTATCTCCGTGTTACTGATACTAACTGAGATATAATGTATATTCGCCATGATATACATGGAATGATGTAATTGATATTTAACCATTGGTATTATTTATATTTCTTGTTTGATTTGGTAAAATAACCACATAACCCAATC